TTGTTCTTCACCAATTCCTTCAGTGCAGCTTCAGCTTCTTCCTTTAATACTATTTGTTCTTGATCATATGCCACCTCCTGACAGTGCCACTATGTATTTCTTCCATCTTCTTTTGATGTTTCCTGTATCATTCAGTATTTTGCCCACGGAATCTTTCAATATTGCAACTCAAGGCTTGAATTTTTCCTTCAGTTCTTTCAGCTTGAGAAATGCTGAGTGCTTTCTTCCCTTTTGGTTTTCTAACCCCAGGTCTTTGCACATTTCATTATAATTGACTTTTTATTCTTGATCTGTTCTTTGAAATCCTATACTCAGCACTTTTATCTTGTCATTTCTACCATTTGCTTTAGCTACTCTCCATTCAAGGGCAAGTTTCAGAGTCTCTTCTGACATCCATTTTGGTCTCTTCTTCCTGTGTTTTTAATGACATTTTGCTTTCTTCATGGATGATGTTTTGATGTCATCCCACAATTCCTGTGGTTTTTGGTCATTGGTGTTCAGTGATGTATCAAAACTATTCTTTAGATGGTCTCCAAATTCAGGAGGGATATAATCAAGGTCATATTTTGCCTCTCATGGACTTCCTTTTTGTTTGTTTGTGTTATTTATTGTTTTTTATTGTGATTTGGGTGAAAGTTTACAGAACAAATTCACTTTCCATACAGCAGTTCACATACACTTTGTCACATGACATTGATTACAATTTACCCCAATGTAACAGCTCCCTTCTCACTTCTTCCAGGCAGTTCCCTCTTCCCTGTGTCCATCCCTCCATGCACTCCTGCCCTCTGAGCTGTCTCCCTGTGCATAAACAGCCCTTCTTTCTCCCATGATTGTTCTTTCCAAGGAGTATATCTACCACAGGTAAATGTTCAACTCACATGCCTGTCTTTTGTTTGGATGGAAGTCAGAGGTGTGGGGTCAATTCCAGACCTGAAGGGCAGCTAGGGGCCATAGTCAGTGGTTCCACCAGGCTCTATCAGACCAGCAAACCTGGTGTCCCCCCCCCCCTTTTTTTTTCCCAAATGATTTTGAGTTTTGTTCCACATTGTTCTCCCTCTTTACGCAGGATCTCCTCTATAGATCTCCCTCCAGGTGGTTGACAGTGGTAGCTGGGCACCATCTAGTTCTTCTGGCCTCATAGTCGTATGGGCTGCAGATTGCATGGTGTATCAGTCACTAGGATCAGGGACTTTTGTTTTCAGCTTCAACTTGAACTTGCTTATGAGCATTTGATGGTCTAATCCACAACCAGCTCCTGGCCTTGTTTTGGCTGAAGATAATGAGCTTCTCCATCACCTCTTGCCACAGATGGCAAAATATACGTAGCAAAAAAATAGTCATTTTAACCATTTTAAAGTGTACAATTCAGTGAGATTAATTCATTCAACGTGCTGTACAATCATCACCACTATTATGAGTTTATCACCTCAAACAAAAATTCAGTACCCTTTAGTCAATAACTTCCGTCTTCCCCTAACCCCACCCCCTGGTAAACAGAAATAAACTTTGCTGTTGTGTATCGGTCTATTCTACATATATAAGTGGGATCATACAATATTTTTCATCTGGATTATTTCATTATAAGAGCTCAAGTGGCATAGTGGTTCAAACATGGCTGCTAACCTAAAGCTGGGGATTTGAACCCACCAGAAACTCCGTAGGAGAAGGAAGAGGCAGCCTGCTTTTATAAAGATTTACAGCCTTGGAAACACTATAGAGCAGTTCTACTCTGCCCTAAAGCGTCCTATGCATAGGAATCGACTCAATGGCAGTGGGTTTGGGAGGGTATTTCATTTTTGTTTTCAAGGTTCATTCCTGTCATACCATGTAACAGAATCTCATTTCTCTTTATGGCAAAATAATATTCCATAATAATATTAGGTACACCACATTTTGTTTGTCTATTCATCTGTTTATGGACACTTGGGTTGTTTCTAACTTTTGGCTATTGTGAATAACCGTATCACTTTTCTTAAAAAATAATTATAAAATAAATTTTTGTTGAATAAATTTTTGTTAACACACACACACACAAAGGTGAACAAACTTCAATTATATAGCTCAATGGTTTCACAATATGAACACACTCATGTAACCAGTGTCTAATCCATAAATGTATTATTTTACCTTTCTTATATTACCTTTCATATGTTGTGGCAGGAAAAAGCAGCTTTGACTTCAACAGATAGTTAGAGTTTTATTAAATCAACATTATCATTTGAGTAATTTGAATGAGAGATATCAAACATCTGTGAAGACAGGCACTGATGCAGTTTTGCCCAGTAATTGAGCAATGACACATTTATCCTGAATTCACTATCAATCTTTCTATGTCAGTCTCTAGACCTGTCAAAATCAATACAGACATCATAACATTCAGAATGTCAGAAATTGGGATTAGGATGGGTTGCACTCAATACAAATATCATAAATACTTAGAATGTCAAAGATTGGTATCAGTATGGAATAGGTAAACAAGCGCACAGTTCCCTCCTGCTGTTTCCCATTGGAAGGGGCCTAGAGTGGTTTGATAGATGAGTCTTGGAAGGTTTTCTTTTTCTAGTTTTCAATTTTATCAAATTTAAGGCAACAAGTCAAAAAAAGTTGTTTACCTTTTGGGCCTTCAGGTGGACATCATATTGCTCACACAACGTACTGGTGGTATCATGAGAAGTTTTATAAAATGGCTTTGCTTTTATTCTTTAACCTTTTAAGTTTCTTAAAAGGTCTGCTTCTACACATATACAAGTGGGCCTATTCTTAATTAAAACATCTATCAACATACATGATTATTAAGAATCAGGAATGCTTCATGGTAGGCACTATACTGAAAGACATTAACTAGTATTCATATTATAGTCTATGCATAAGTATAGGGTTCACACACTTGGAAGGCACCTTGGGAACTGATCACACATCATTGTATCTCAGGAACTACCACAACTGAAACCAGCACGCTGTATGAAGAACTATTTTAATGTAATCAACTTTATTTTAAATTAATACAACCAGCAAATGAGAATTCAAAAGCAATCATTGGCAGAAAATTCTTACTCACCATTACCTAGATCAACACAGTGTAAATAAATATATAAGCTTACTGAACAGTTGTCAAAATGAAGTCCTAGATTAGAAATAAACACCCAAACTCTTTGTAAAAATGCTGAATAGATTGGAATTAAAAAGTATATACTAAAAGGGCAAAAAAGGGTAGAGAAAGCAATATATATTGAACACATACAGTCTTCCTAGTTTGAGCAAATCAGAAAAGTTGTTAATGCCTTACTTACACTTTCATATACGTGACCTCAAAGTTAGTAACCATTAGGAGCAAGAATTAAAATCCAGCTTCCTGATTCAAGTCCAGCAACCTCAAGACACTATTAAGACAACATTCAATAGCCCTCTGCGGGAAGAAGCTGTATTACTCTGAGAGAGCACCGAAGGGGACCCAGTAGGCAGGCGTCATTTCCCACGTAGCCTCCCTTCCAACCCCCAAACGGAGAAAACGGAGCGGAAGAGGGTGGTTCCCGGAAGCCCTCGGAGGAGACGGGACTACATTTCCCAGAAGCACGCGGGGCAGGGCAAAGGGAGGGCGTCGGGGATGTTACTGGACAGGCCTTTCCCGGTTATGACAAGGTAAATGCCGGCACCGCGGCTCCGAGGGAAGAGTAGTTTACGGTCTGCGCCTCTTCCTCGCTTAGATTTGTAGCAGTAGTCCTCCTGAATCATCCCGACATGACAAAAACTACTCCCCCAACCTGGCAACTTCGGGATGCCGGGCCCCAACTCATATCTCTTCCACTTGATGGGTCTAGAGCGCTTCCGAGATGCCTATGGAACCGGTGAATTAGGCTAGAAAGGTGAAAGCTTAAGGCACCGCTTTCTAGAGTTGACAATACATAATGGTTTCTCGTTCCCTTCCCAGTCCTCCCCCAAACCTATTAAATTGGGCAGGAACTAGGCTGTGCCTGGCTTCCTGGGGCTCCACGTAAAGGATGTTACTCCCTCCCTTAGGACTGTCTTGTAGCAGGAGCCCTCCATTCCCCTTTGCTTGCTTCTCGGACTTCCTTAACTCTGGGAGGCGAAACTTGTTGAAGATCTGTTGACCAAGCACTGCTAAGCATTTTCACCCATCACCCCTATTCCTCTTATCTACCCTTTACGGTGGTGTCATTACTGTAATTTGAGAAGCTAAGTAACTTGCCTTAGGTCACAATTTAAACAGCAGAACTTAAGGTTCTCACCGAGCCAGTCCGGATCTAATGACCGTTGCTTATGTCTCACTACCTTTCTCAAACCTTAACCTAAAAGAAGAAAGGCGCTGGGGGCCGCGGAATCATTTTTATTTGCTCACTAGCGTCGACGGCCCTGCTTTAGACTCAGGCGCACAACCACCCTCACTTGCCCTGCGCACTCCGCCAGTTGGGCCTTGCTGGCTAGGACGCTTTGGTCTGGCCTGGGCTTCCCCTACGTTGTTCAAAAAAAACAGTTAGGGCTCTCTGCGGACAGAACCGGAGCGATCGCCCTTGGGCAGTTGTTTCTCTTCTCGTTCACCCTTTCCCGGGCCTTTCTTGTTAGAACCGCGAACCCGGACGTGTTAGCGCAGCGGCCGTAGGGTGGGTGGGTGGAGTTTCCAGAAAGACAGCCGCGGCAGCTGCAGCTTGTGCGTCCTCTACTGACTCTGGGGCGGGGCTGTTGGGGTGGGCGCGGGCAAACGGACCCCGCCGGGATGGGCGGTGTGGCTGCTCCGCCAGGGTGTTCTGGGTGGGAGAGAGGCTTCGCGACCACTGGTGGTCGAACTCCCTCTGCCTTCTTCTAGAGATGCTCTTCCTCTCGGTGAGTTGTTTTTCTGCCTTCACGGGCCGGGTTCTCAGGGTTGGTCACGCCCCGGGGAGGAGGAAGGAGTCGGACAACCTAGGCCTGTGTGCCCTGGACTGACTAGCAGCGCTCGCCGACCTCCCCCCTTGGGGTATGTTGATCCGCGGCTGCGCTCCATGTTCCAGTTTCATGCAGGCTCCTGGGAAAGCTGGTGCTGCTGTTGCTTGATTCCACCCGACAGACCTTGGAACCGGGGCCGGCACTGGCGGCTGGAGATGGCGGACACGAGATCTGTGCATGAAACCAGGTTTGAGGCTGCGGTGAAGGTGATCCAGAGTTTGCCGAAAAATGGTAAGTGCTCTGGGCCCCCGCTGAAGAAGCCTACTGCAGGGGCCCGAGTTCCTAAATCTCGCGCCCTTTAACCTTTCTTGTAGTCTTGCTTATTTAACCTACTTTTTTTCTGCATTTAAAAAGAATTAAAGGGGAGATACTGATTATGAATAAATGATCTGCTGATCTTTCAAGCCAGAAACAAAAAGACTATCTAGGTTTTAAGTAGTTTATGTTGTTGAAAACAAAAGTACGGTAATCAGCTAAAAGCTGTCAGCGGATTTGGGTGCATTGAAAAAAAAAAAAAATCAGGAATGAGTTGCCTGCAGCTGCATACTCATTAACTCTACAGTTTAAAACTTTTGATGGGAGAAAAAGGAAAGAATAACTAGTCACTAAATTATTTCATTTTAATAAACATATATTTATTGTTTTTCTTTTGTTTTTTTGTTTGCTATTATGCTATTTAGTGGTGTTCTCTTTTTTTGTGTTCCTATTGGACCCTCTTTGCAACTTTGAAGAAAAATAATTTGGGTGGTTCTCTTCAATTTTGTGTAATTTTTCTGAGTGCTTTCAATATTTTTGCCTTTATCATTTGTTGATTGGTCTTGAGCAATTCGACTGTGATATGTTTAGGTGTGGTTTTCTTCATTTTTATTCTGTTTGGGGTTTGAACTTGTATTTTGTATCTTTGACCAATGTTGAGAAGTTTGCAGCCATTATTTAGATTAATAAATCTAATTATTATTATTATTTTCTTTCTCTTTTTTTATTGTGATTTGGATGAAAATTTACAGAGCAAATTCACTTTCCATACAGCAGTTCACATATTATTATTTTCTTTTCTTATGGTAGTGAAGAGGCTTGGAGAGGGGAACTTTTACTTTTTGCTTCAAATCCTTCTGCATTATTTGAATTATCTTTCACAATAAATATGTCTAAAACAATGAGTTTTAAGTACTCTTACTCTGCTAGAGTTGCAAAACCAACAGAATACAATATTAATATATTACTCTAGTTTTTAACGTCATGTTTTTTGTTTTCATTAGTGCTTAAGGCATTTGATTGCTAACCCGAAGACTGGCAGTTCAAACCCACCAGCCACTCCTTGAAAGGAAGGTTGGGCAATCTACTTCTGTCGTGATACCACCTCAGAAACCCAAGGAGGGGTTGCTATGAGTTGGATGTGATTCGATGACAGTGAGCTTGGTTTTGTTTAGTAACCAAGTAATGAATATTTATTCAGCACAATTCATTAAATACATACTAATTTATTCAGTACTATGCTGAAAGTTTTGAAAATAAATTGCAGTGTGATAGATTGCTTTTATGTGGCCTTTCTTGCCATAATCTTGTAACTTCCACCATAATGGTTGGATAGGACTGCAGATAAAGGGCTTGTTGCCCACCAAGGGGATTCGACAGTTTGCTGATAATACAAATAAGATGCATGGCACTCTTCTGGGGATATGACCATGCAAATAAGATGTTTTGAACCCCAACAAAGGGATTGGTCAGTTTTGCCATCCTGCTAGGCTTAAAATGAGCCATCCCAGAAACAGACGGGGAACCTCACTGCCACCAAGAAGAGACGGAAGTAGAGCACATTCTTTGGACCCACGGCCCCTGTGCTGAGAACCTCCTAGACCCAGAGGGAAAGAGAGTTGTAACACTACCAATGGTGACAGATGGTGAGAAGCAGTTGCAGAGAAACGATGGCAGCAGAACCAGGAGACCAGTGTGAGATAGCGCAGTGGACTTTAGCAGTCCAGGGAGCAAGGCAGTACAGTGGGTGTGAAAGATCTGAGCATCTTTGGGCAAGAGGCTTCCTAGCAAACTGGGATACCTCCAGGCACTTGGCAGAGCTAGGATTGCTGACCCATAGAGCTAGATAGCTGAGTGCCTTCGGGCCAAGGCTTACTGGCAGAGTGGTGTGCCTCTGGGTACTTACTGGTAGAGCTAAAGAGTTTTTTAACACTTTGCCAAGCACAGCAGCCCAAGAGGCCAGAAGGGTCAAGGGGCTAAAAGAGATCTCAGGTCAGTGAGAGAGGTTTGCCTATAGTCATAGCCAAGAAGCTGTCCTGACAGGAGAATTGTATCCCAAGTCGTTCCTCATCCTGAATTGTGAACTGTTACTTCCCTAATAAACCCTGTAATTGTGAGTATTATCTTGAGTTCTTTGTGGCCATTGTAATGAATTCTTGGACCCAGCAGAGAAGGAGAGAGTACCAAGGGAGGGACACTTGGCATCAGAATTGGTTTTAAAAACAAAAGTTGAAGGGTGGAGGTATGTCTGGTCTCTACCTCATAGCAAGCATCCTTGGGCTGTTGATGCTGATAATGATTCTCTCCCTTGTGAATTTAGAGCAAGTCAGATGCCCCTGCCATGCCATTTTTACACAAATTACACGAAATAGCATTCCTCTTGTAACTTCAAAGCCACTTTTACTCTTTTCTCTCTTTTAGATAACAGAAAAACAAAGGTAGCATGGGAGGAAGACATTTGGAATTGAAAGATAAGAAAAAATGAAAACATGTAAAGACATAGGAACTTATTCAAGTATTGATTTCAGAATTGCTCAAGAGAGTTTTTACAAAGGTCCGATTCTAAGAATTTTACGTTAATGGAAATAATGTACGTTTACCCTTTTCCCGAAACCACATATTTTATGTATTTTTCGAAAATTAAAAGCTAGCCTTTTATCTTTAGTCTACTATCTTGGCATTATAAACCACTTATTTAAAAAAAACTGTAAGCCTGTCTACCACTGCTGACCTGTCTGAAAAGGATCACAGTAGAAGGTCCTAACAGAATGGGAGAAAATTATGGACCAAAACTGAAAATAATAAGAAAGGCCAGGCTTACTGGTCTGATAGACACTGATGACCACCAAGACTATGACTCTTAGACACCCTTCAAACTGAAAATTGAACTCACCCCCATGGCTCAACTTTCAGCCAAATGATAGGCCTATAAGGTGAACAATAAACCATGAAAGTGTTCACTCCTAAGAACAATCAACTATACTAGATTAAAAGAGCAGCATTTGCCCAGGGATAAAGATAAGAAGGCAGAAAGGGAAGGAAAGAAGGACAAAGGAAATGGTGAACACAGGGAGAAATGGAATACTGTTACAATGTAAGGATTGCAGTCAGTGTCACGAAATAAAATGTGTATGAACTGTTGAATGGAAAACTAATTTGCCCAGGAAACTCTCACCCAAATCACACTAAAAAAAAACAAATAGTACCAAAAGAGAGAAAGAAATACATGTAAATACCATTTTTATTTACATAACATCTAAGAAGGTATTGCCAAGTTGAGATTCCCTGGCCAGATAGCACTTGTGTGGGGGTATATGAATGACATGGTGGAGGAACCTTTAGGTAGACTTCTAACTTCACAAGGGGTAAAGAGGATCAAAATCAATAGCCCATGGTTGATTCCTATGGGATGGAGGTTAGACATTTCTCCACTCTCCAACCTTTGTACCAATTTTGACAATAACTCTCCCTCTCACGGCACTCTACTTCTGTGCTGGGTTCAATAGCTTGTTGCAGTGGCTACAGAGAACTAGCCAATAATACTCAAAATTATGGGGTTTATTAGTTTTGGTTCTCTAGTGCCACTGAGCAGGAGAAAGGGGTAAAACCCAGTCACTAGTGCTCAGACGGCTCCCTTGCTACCATCCCGAGAGGGACCGGGTCTCCGGGAGCAAGGTAAGCACGGGCGGGCTGGTGCTTACTCACTGATCTGCACTGAACACTTTCCCTTGTTACCC